ACTGTGTTTGCTCACTAGGGACTCACTCACCTCAGGGAAGATGGTCACTAAATTAAGCTCAACTCATCATATGTAATAAAGAACCTCCACTGAAGTCAGGCCGAAGCAATTAAGGCTCTGGGAACGAAGGAAAGAGATAGCAAAGCAGCCAGTAAAGCAGCAATAAAGATGCTTGCTTTTTAAAGGCCTGCATCTCAAAACTCAAAACCACTTTACTCTCAATAACCCCTACTTCAAAGTTTAAAAAAAAAAATTAATTAAATTATTGAGATGAAAAAACCTAGAGCAGCAAGACCACTGCTCAAGCACTTGTGAGAGCTCAGTTCCACAAGGTCCACGTCTGTGCCCCAGCAGAACTGGGTGCCACCCACATTGTATGCTCAGAACAAAGAGGACTCTGAGAGTTGCCATTTTGACCCTGTTCTGTGTTCACTTTTTACCCACAAAAAACATCACCAGGCTTCAGGGATTTCCTAATATTCATCCACCACAACAAGAGGTTTTCATGATGTAATATCAATTACTCCGCTGTGAATACCAGGACAAGAGTTCACCTCTTTCTCCTATTAAAGCCTCAGATACTCCATACACATCCCTAACTTAGGGGCTACAGAGTTTATGGGGCTAGTACTTGCTGAATGCTCTCCCACTGTCAAATGCTTTGGAGAGCTGTGCAATTCACTCCCATTCTTAGCAACTCTATTGTACTTCACCTTTGATAGTTACAGTGAATATTTTTCGTAGTTATTATTAGACATAAGTGACTAATTTCTCTTTGAAAAAAAAACCCTGAATTTTTATGCTAGTGAGAGTCAAACAGCTGAAATCCTAAATGGAAACTTACAGCGTTAGATAATGTTATCCAACTCAAAAAACTCCTCTGTGAACTTTGTGAGGGATGTAATTTTACAAACAGAAAATATGGGTATTGAAACAATTCATGCTCACATACAGATGGAAGTTATTATGAACTCTTGGAATTAACACACATTGTTTCAGCTTTGGAATGTAACAGCAAAGCAAGTTTTTCCAAAAAAAAAACTCTACCAAGCCAGCACTAGGCTGCTTCTAATTCCAGCTGAATTCTCCTGAGTGCAAAATGTGGTTTCCAGTGTTATTATCCTGCTGTTTTACAAAACGGTACCCCTTTATCTCTAGAAGAGTTTTTAAGTCAGTAATTTTATTTAATATCAATGCCATCTCATTTCTTCCACACTCACATTTCTCCTTGCTGACAGAATTCTAGGTAATTGTAAAAGGAAAAAAAAAAAAAATCTGTGAAACCAGAGAAGCTTATACAAATAATTTCAAAATATTTCTTCAAGTTGATCGAGTTTTTCTGGGTTCTTTGTCACAGTGCTCAAAACTTGCATGAATGATTCAAGTAAGGTGATAGAGACCAAGGCTCTTGTTTTCATGCTCCAGTGAAGTCACTACTATTCTTCCCAGGCAAGTCCAACCTTGCCACAGCACAGAGGGAATTAAGCAACCGATTCACACTTATTCCTGACAAAGAGGACTGGTTCTCTGAATTAAGGTAAACACCTTTGGTGATGGTCTGGAGATAAGAGAGAGGCAGCTGCTCATTCTCTGTCCAAACTTAATTTTTCACATGTTCACAAGAATGAAGCTTATCTGGACACTTCTCTGAAAGCAGCCATATGGCTTGCTAAAAGTTATGTAAATTCAACAGTTTCAGCATCCCAAGAAACATACAAGAACTCAGACAATCTTGGGTTTTTAAGTCAGCCCCAGAGCACAGAGGTTTTGTGATGCATTTCTGCACACTATCTACCTGCTCTGCTTTCAGAGTGGAATTTCCACTTGGCAGAACTATATAAAGCAGCAATATTTGACCAAGGACATCAAAACAAAAGTGACTGCAACAGTTTATGTGGACATCCTAACACTTTCATGATTAAATCAGTAGTAGAAGCACTCCCAGAAATTCCAATTTACTTTTATTATGTTTTTATATCCAACAGCATACAGTCTCAAGCATTAACATGGGACCCATAGTGTTCTACTAACCACTTTGAAGTCTGGCCACTGATTAGCTTGCACCAGCACCAATGACCCCAAGTAGAGCTGGAAACTCTTTTTATACTAATACATACTTAAAGCCTTCATTTACTTTTATAAATTTAAACATATGCCAGTGATTTCAGAAACCAACTGCAAGGAATTGGAAGGCAGCATGGGTTGCCTTGAGTGACCGTGTGTTCAACCACCCAGAGTCCTTCGAAATAGGACAAGAAAATGAGAATAAGAGGTTTTAGTAGGTTCAAAAATGGTAACAACTCAGGGATGACAAGTCAAGGAGATTAAACAGGAAAACAAGTGAAGTGGTGACAATTTCTATAAAAAAATACTACAGGCAGAAGTGTCAAGTAACCCAAACTACACAAACAGAAAAGACAACCATCCTGGGCTCAATGAAGAATTCATCATTTTGATGAAAAAAAATAACAGAGCTTCTTGCTTGTATCACATAAGTGAGTGACAAACTCCAGAATAAGGTAAAGATGAAGAAGGGCTGAAAGGCAAAGCAAGCAGCACTGTGACTCACAAGTTACAGAATGAACAAGTAAGCAGAGATTAAGGAAAGCACTGATTCGATAGTAATGAAGAGAGAGATCTATCAAAGCATTTGAGGGAAAGACTAATCCCTTTTTCTCACTAATCTTCCCTCTGGAGGTCAAGTGTGAACAGCTGGCTGCCATTACTAATACCACCAACAAGGAGGTACAGTCTAAGATACATTAACAGCCTGGCTAAGTGAATTTCCAAGATTAGTAGGATTCAATTAACTTTGTCTTAAGATATTTTAGCCTTTAAGTAATTGCAGAGGTTATTGTCCAAAACACACTAAGCATGGGCAAGTCTGGAAAATGGTAAATGCAATCCAAGCTTAAAAAACAAACAATACAGAAAGATTCAGAAGCTTTACTTCAATTTGGGATAAGGAATGGCAAAAAAGTGATGGAAGAGAAAACTGGAAAAACAAACAAGACTAGTAGAAACTAAGCATAAAAAGGTCATTTTTCAAGAATAAAACTTTAAGACTAATGTAATTTCAAACAGGTTAGAACCAGAAATGTCATATTTCTCTTGGAATTTAAATCTCTTGGCATTTTTTGCTCACAAGCATGCTAGAGAAATGGGATATTGATGAAGTACAAGTGAATACAGAGAAAGTACTTTTTGGGTGTAATAAAGAATGGTTCATGACTACAACTGAAATGCTGGCAAAATGGAACTACACCTGGAATAACAGAACTCCAGTTCTATCCAATATTTTAATTAGGTAATCTGGATAGGGCATAGGTTCAGATGCAGCCAGCATAAAGCTGAGACTGAGTTCTCAACCTCTAGTATTATACCACCAAAGCAGAAACGTGATTAAGATCAAGAAAATTCATCTTCAAGAATACATTCAAGGTACAGCATGTAAAATGTGAATTAACCAAACCACCTGCTGTGACAGCTGCAGCTGGTCTGAAGCTGCACAGATAAGATTGGCCATAACAGACCCCAACTCTACCAGACCGGCCCAGTTTGATAAAGAATAGAAGTAAACAAATCCCAGGGTAAGACAATGATAGGTTGGATTTGAACTCAAAACAGGGGAACCCAGCCAGCCCCATTCAATCCTGAAAGCAGACATATCACTGGCCAGTGAGCTGGGTGGTGTTAAGACCTTGACCACTCAGGTGTTCAAGTGTGGGAATTTTGAAGCCTCTACAAAAGGGGGTGTCCATCAGTAAACCTTGCCTGTTGTCACTTGAACTCAGTGTGTTCTGTTGTGTGCCTGTCTCCAGAACTGCAACAAACATAATTACCTGCACACATTCAGAATGGACTGTTGTGTTGCTGTGCAGAAGATACCTGGGGCTGTTGGTTGCCCAGAATCCTAAGATTTACTCTGCTGGGCTTTTAAGATACAAACCTATTAGAACCCAATGAACTGGAAATAAAAAGACAAGACTTGGGAAGCATTTCTCCCTCCTAATCCATGTTTTGAAAGCAAAAAGCTCACTATACCCAGCTTTGGGCATTGCATTTCAAGAAAAAATGTGGATTCAGATGGAGAATCTGAGACAAGAGAAGTGTTGAAAAGTGTTTTTTCAATGCATAAAACTTTACAAAGAGGAAGAGATTTAAATGGATCAGATTATTATAATATATAAACAAAGGCAAGACAGGTTTGGACTCAATGTCAGAAATTAGCTGTCTTTAGTGGCCAAGAGAGTCAAGCACTGGAACTAAGCAGTACTTATACCACAGGCTTTTCTTCACAGAACATCACCAGGGACAGCATAAAAACAGCTGACACTGTCCTAGGACTAGATATAAATTGAAACAGGCAGGCCTCTTTAAGACCAGCTTTCTGAACATTCTCTGAATGCCATCCAAATGTATTACATGCAGGTATTACTGCCATCTCAAATACAAGTCTGCAAAGTCTCTTGCAATTTTCAGAGTAAAGGATGTTTTTTTAAAATACATTAAAAACAAAGAAGTAAGGTTGATTAGATAACTTTTTTTTTTTAAAAAGTCACACATTTGCAATACTTCATATTTTACATGCATTGTGGTTTTTTATAAGGGTAGAATACTAGTTGAAGTAATAATACAGCAAAATTAAAGACACATGAGCAAGAATTACTAATAGATCTCCAAGTATGACAAAATTTTAAAACTGAGACTATTTAGTTTTCAAAATAGTGTGAAGTCTATAGACTCATAGAATGTACTATTTGAAAAGGAAAAGATCCATTATTATCTGGCAAGTCCTTCTCTAAGCACCACAGAAGAAAATCTCAAGCACAAAGCTGAAGACAAGTGAAAATTATGTTTTCAAGGATATTTGTCTTAGTTCACAGGTTTTCACCACAGAGAACAGCATCACAGGACAGCACATGCACACTCACATCATATTGGCACCAAACAGAGAATACATATAAATAATAATAAAAAATAATCTCAAGTGTACCAACCTGTGCTATATTTTTGTTGAGAAGATAAACTCCATATTCAAACTGAAGCTTCTCCCCTCCTTTTGCATATAAAGGAAATCTGATGGGAAAAGAAAGGGGAAGGGGGGAAAGTATTTAAGGTGAAATTATTCAGATGCTTATGTAAACTTCAAAAAGACCCAGATTCCTTTTCTGAAAAGGTAAAAATTTAAAAAGCTTCCTTTGCTGACTTCTCCCAAGAACCCCTCCGTAGGATGTATTTATGAATCCTCTGCAATTCCAGTCAATCAGCATTTAACAACTGATGCCAAAACTCAGCTACAGAATTGCATTTTTTAAAGTATTTCAGGTTTTTAAAAGACACTTTATGATTCTCCTAGGGCTGCAACATCCCTCTCATCAATCAAAGTGTAATTTCAGAAGCACACAGCACAATTGCAGATCCCATGTTATCCCTCTACATTCACCCAGTCACACATGGCTAGCTCATTTCCAAACAGAAATATTTTTTAAAAGTTGTTCTCTTTTGATCATTATCCTGTGATTGACAGACCACAAAGGCCTTTACACAGAGAAGAAATTTGCAGGCTCACTTACCCAAACAACATTCAGAATACAAGTGATTCCTTTCAACAAATTTCACACATGCACCAAAGGCTTGAGTCACAGCATCATAGGTCACTATAGCCCTTGCAAACATTTTATAACTGACCTTTATTTTTCCTACATAATAAATATTGCTCAGCATTTTAAATACCAAGATGTAGCAAATAGCTTGTAAGAACATAGCATGGCACTGATGAGTGAGACAAGGGAACTAAAACATTTAGTCCCTTAAATACTGAAACTCTTTGACAGTTTCTGCATTAAAAAATATGGTTTTATTCTCAAACAGCTTTAACAGCTGTACACTGTACTTCTAAGGATTGTCTCTTGACTCCTCCTCAGCACCAGAGGTTATGAAATCATCATGGTCAATTCAGTAATCTTAGCACAAACTAGAATTTATTCTTATGGGAGCTACAGCATGAATCAAGCTTTTGCCTTTTCACAAACCATTTCCTACAGTTCCTAATCAAGATGCTGAATGAATTACCCACACAAGCCCCACTCTACAGCAGAAACTAAGGTCTCTCTCAAATATAAGATAACAAATACAGGAGATCAATATCTACTAGAAACAACACACATTCTGGAGAGGTGATTAGGCAAAGTGAATTTTATCACCCATCTGCCCCATAGTAGAGTACATTTGTAATTTTAATAATTATATAGTATCATTAAAGCTAAAGGTTAACAAGTCATCAAATATTGGTCACATCACATCCAATATTGAGATGTCAGCTTCAAGTTTTCTGCAACTTTCAAACTTGCTAGGTCTCTTTAAACCGAGGAACATTAAAATCTCTGTGAATACTATATATCTAGCTAACCTTGCTTAATAGATCTATAAATCGAACTAGTTCCCCATGCAAGAAATGAAACTTTCCCAAATGCTACAAAAATTCTGCAACACATTATTCTAAGTCTAAAATACAAAGTAAGAGGAATTAATTTCAATATGTCAAATTACACTACCCAAAGAAAGGGTTAGATTTAAAGAATAACTTTACAAATAGTCTAAAACTAACCACTTTTTTTACAATAAAAGCACCATTTCCCTAAAAGGCAGCATTTCATGAAGTCACTGGTAACAGGAACCATGAATTCTATTATTAAACACACAGCTCTTTGATCCATGCAGTATAGAAAGAGGGTAAAAAGTGGCTCATGGTGCTCACTGACATCTCCTACATAGAGATTCCTTTAAAAGGGAAAATCAGGCTTTTCTGCTTATCATGTTGATCCTGCTTCTTTGCTAATATTCATATTTCTATCATCTAACTTCTATTAATTAATCTTGAAAGGCTTTAGATCATGTACTTCCTCAGGTCACCTTTCACAACAAATTCACTTAAATGAAAATCTTGAAAACTGCCAGTGCATATCTCTGCATATACACATTTATGACTCAAGAGAAAAATATTACTAGGTTATATGCCTCTCTCTTGGTGTTTTATCTTTCTTGCCCATTAAGCTTCATCACAAGCAATAAACTCAAGGGAGAGGAACCCAAACCTTTTATATAGTGCTTCAGTGAGTATAAGTGAACTTAACTTGCACTGCTGCCTCCCTGTGTGAAATTCTTCTTGCCCACTCCACAGAAAAGCATTGACTGTAAGCTTAATCTCTCCTTTTGGCATGCTGCAAAAAGCTGAGTCTGCTGTGTAAGGATTTAGTTATATTAAATACTTTTGAAAATCACTATTTTAGTGGTTTTATAATCACAAAATGTATAATTAAAATTTAAAATGGCATCCACTTACGTATTCTACTCTAAAATGCACCTTCCTTCTTTCCATTCTTGCTGATATATTTAGGGAAAAAATCACTAAGCTCCTTTAAAGCAAAACACAGATACTTATTCTAAGAAAAAATTTGAAGGAGTGTGATATGTTTGGTGGAAAGAATAAAAAACCACAAGCTACAGGTACCCTTTTTATAATCAACAGAAAATATTATCTGAGAGAAGTTATCAAGTGTTGGAAAGTTCTTCTCAGCCCAGAACAGAGCTCAGAAGTTGAGCTCTGGTTCTCCTCAGAATCATACTAACACACTCCAGGAAACCATGCATCTGCCATGTGAACAAAACAGCTTCTGCTCAGTGAGGGTAAACACGTGCCTTTATAAAAATATGTTGTCATTTACATACAGCTATGGAATATGACATTTCAATAGCATGTAGACTTCTTAAAATACAGTTCTAACACACCCTGAGTTTACAGAAGATAATCTATTTCTGTATATAAAGAGACAGGCAATTCAGCTATAGTAGTTTTAATAGTGATTTGTGAAGAAGATCCTGGTTTAGAGAAAATTAACTTGGTGCAAGGAAAAATCCACCATGTTTGGTAACTTGTAACAGGTTTGCCCCATTTGGAGCTGTTTCTGTATCTGATATTCCCACTGCTTTCAAGACATGTCAGCAAAGGTAGGAGCCTGTACTGGAGAAAAGCAACAAGAACTAGGAGTGATTAAGGGAATATTCAGCCAGCAGGCATGTGTAAAGGTGGCTTTAGGATCTAAGAGAATTGTGTCAAAAATGCTGAAATTAAACAAGTCCCACTCAGAATTCAGAAGGTGGAGAACTCTGGATAAGAGTGATCCAAACTGCACACCAGATTGATTTGAACCAGATGGTCAAAACGTGATTTGAAGATCTAAGATAACATAAGGAAGATTCTTAATCTTAAAAGTTTACATTTGTTTTGGAAGTCTCATGTTTTGCTTATTTAGTCCTACAGAACTGTGACAAACTCTAAGTTTTTACTCATTTTTTTTGAGTCATGTTCTGTTATAGGGCTCACTGGGATACAAGTCAGATTATCAGTGTTACCCAGCTGCAACATAATGCATATCTATAATTAACCACAAGACACATGCAGGACATTTTTATGCACACAGCTCATATCCCCTTCCATGGTATATCGCTTTGGACAAAACCTGTGTTTGTCTATGATGATGCCACAATGACTGAACAGTTTCTCCCCTGGTGAACCAACACTATTATGTTCAAGACCCAAGCATTCCCAACTCCACAAGAAGTGGTTTTGGTTGTCATTTCTCACAGATGACAAAAAAAAATTTAAATAAAATAAACCCAAAATAATAGAAGCAGGTAAAAGACACTTTTAATCATCTCTGAACAACTTAATTTTAGCTGACCTTAAAATAGTGATGACAATTCATATGCCCTAACCTTACCTCTCTCACCCTCACCCACTTAACTTCCCTCCTACCTCTCCTGCTTGAAGGGCTCCCAAGAATAAGCCCCTCCTCTATACCTGCAATCTTAATTTCAGCAAGTTGGTATCCACCGCTTTATTTTGATCCATTCCCTATTAATTCCTGCCACATTTTCTAAGAAGACATCAGCTACTGGATAAAGAACTCTTCACCTTAAAACTTGTTTTTCTATCAAAGTCACCTAATATTCCAATATTTAAACCTACAGAGGATCTGCTGATATGCAGTGAGTAAGGAAACAAGTGTGAACAGGTCAAGGCTCAATAGTTGTGAAAAAGAAAAAGCAAGGCAGAGGTTATGTGTTTGGTTCACAGTTACCCTGATGGTGTAACATCAAGTCAGACTTTTTATTTAAAAACAGGTCTTAAAGTCTACTTGCAATCCACACTGAAACTACAAAACCAGCACACTACCATCAGCAATAGAATTAAGTTTTAAGTTCAAGGACCTCACAACACTTCACAAATGCTAAGTTTTTAAATAGCTAGTTTGAATATTTGCATAAAAAAACAAAATTCTGATAAGTATCAAGTTTTAACGGTACCCAACTACATCATCAACAGGACTCTCAGGGAGCTGTTACTTTGCTTAGTCAAATTAAACTTTATTCTACCATGGTATTCAATCAAGTAGAATGTTCTGTAGACATAAGAAACACATGTAACTCTAAGAAACTTAAAAGCAAAGTATAATCTCATTAGAGGAAATCACATCAATGTTACAATGACTAGACAGGACACTAAATCATCCACTCTGGTTTAAAAGTCTTTCTATTAAGAAAGAGAAACTCAGTATATCTGTTTCCAGTCAATATGGAAAACCAAGGGTGGCTGGTTGTCAGCATTTTCACTCCAGCTGACTCATGCACATGCAAACAGCTGAACAGAAATCTGTGTCAAACCAAGGCAAATTACAACTTTCAGTTCAAGGAGGATTCCTGAGTATGTCTAAACACATTTGTGTTCTGGTGGCAATACAGGAGCAGCAGACATGATTTCAGATGAACACTTTTGCTAGTTGTGCTTGTCTAGGGGCCTAAAGGCATTTCTGCTAGAAGTCGGCTCTGTAATTACAGGATCCCTGCAGGAATCTGATCCAGAGGCTGCAGCCCACCCCATGAGGCCACAAGCCACTGCCCTGTGTTGCATCCAGATGCAAGGAGATCATCCTGCAATCATAAAGCTACAGGCACAAAGAAGCCTAATGTATCACCTCTAAGGCAAGTTCAAACCACCCTGTACACTCAGCTATCAT